GGACTTGTGAATACTTGAAATAGTTGTCACAGAAGTCCAACCGTCTCTTTGTCTACAAACTCAGGAAACCAACAAAAACAAGGATTTTTAAAAACCTTTTTTTTGGCTATGTATTACAGTGGAGTAGTAGATGGGTCCAATGATCAGTTTATCTCAGCTTAGAGGTGGTGTATTTTAAAAAAGAAAACCTAACTTTGATCACATCTAGTGATTAAAACATTTTTTCTTACTTGGATTATACAAGGGTTAATAGCACAGAGGAATACACTGGGCAATATGACTTCACATAAAAATACATCAGCTGTTTTCAAGGCATCTAGTAGTGTAGATGTGAACACAAATTTAACACTAAGTAAACTTTAATTTTTCTTCTACTCAGACATCGTATTGTGTGTTATAGTAATTGGACTTTTCTTTGCATCGCTTGGTAAACAAGCAAATGTTAAGTCAATTTTAATGGAAATTCTCCATCAAGATTAGGAACTCTGATAAATGAGCTGTAGCATTTTGTGATTGAATAGGGAAAAGGGTTACTGTCTTCAGAAGTCTGGCCACTCTGACAGGAGGTGAATGCCCCTAGGCTGGAAAGCAGAGTGAAGGTTGTGATGCCTTCTTAGCTGGAAGGGCACCCACCTATTCTACACTGCAGCCTTCATGCCATTCAGATGAAACAAGCCCTCAAAGTGGGAGTCCTTTAGCATCTACTTTCTGGAACTTCAGAATCATTGCCTTGTGATGTCCATCTAAAAGTTTGATTGAGAAATTAATAACGCAGAGGCCCCTATGGCACATCAGGAGTGTTGCTTGTTTGTGAGGCATTAAACATGAGATGTCAACCCCTGGATATTACTGCTTCACAGAAAGAGAAAATATGTTTGGAAGTGTCCTTTTCTTTTTTTTTTCTTTTTTTTTTCTTTTCCCCCCCCCCCACCCCCCTTCCTCTGATTGCCATACTGAGTAACTGGCTTCTAGTCTGATAGTGTTTTAGGTGACTAGAATAACAGTCTGTCTCTTTCCACAGTGGCTGCAGACAATCTGGCAGCAATCACTGTTACTTTTTAATATTTCTGGTTATTTTGAGATATCCTCCAAATGTCTCAAAGAAGGCTTGGAACACTGAAGGGGAAAAAGCATTTTTTATTCATTTTTTTTTTTTTTAGGAATAGCAGCATCAGGAGGAAAATGAAATTCAGCATGCCACTATTTGTTTTTGCAGTGGTCATCACCCTGATTGCCAGCTCTGACAATATTTTCACAGAAAGGGTAACGAAATAAATGGTATTTGTTCTTTATAATAACTCTTTCAGTAGAATGTCAGGACCTGCATCTAAATGAATATATTCACATTTTTATGTTCCCATTTTTTATTTAAAGCTTCCCCTCCCAACTTTCTGAAACTACTTCATACAGACTTGGTAAGTTAAAATTAGGGTTCATGTAGTGGATAATGTCACATTTGAAAGCTAATCTGTAGAGACCTAGCTGCATGAACCTGTAAAAGCTAGATCTGATTTTTTTTTTTTTTTTTACATATTAAGTGTTTGTTTAGTTTAAATATGTCTGTATCTTTTTTGAGCAGTCTGAGCAATTTGCATGCTATGCAGCAGTCATCTTCTATACTTTATTAAATATCTGTCAATTATAAATATCAAGGTTTTACATTAATGTCAAGATAGTACATCAAAAATTCATGGAATATGTGACTTTTTTCAAGGGTATTTAATACTTAATGCATTTGTGTCATTTTTCTTTCTAGATATATTGACAGGTTTTATTAAGTGTTTGTTAGGGAGATTTCATTTTTACCAAGGGACTATAAAGAGAAGCTGCATACTAAATCAAATCCTTAATCAGAATAGTGTTCTTTTTTGTGTGTCTTCAGATTCTTGTAATCTATGGGGTTTTTAAGTTACATAGTAAAATAGACCAAATCAGAAATCTAACATGATCAAATATGCTGACGTATCTTAACTCTAAAAGAGCCACTAGAATATTGTATCACAGGATGTTATAAATATGGTAATTCCTTGTGCTGGGATTTTTATTCTGCCCTGTGTCTTTTAAGACCATATATTTTGTCCTTTATTGTAATTTACTAGTGGTTTTATGTGAATTACATCTGGATGGTGTCCACATAGGAGCAATCCCAAAGTATCACAGATTTACAAACGGAGGATGACAGAGTATTTGGTGGCATCCAGGATCTTTGCCCGTGGGTTGGGTGTTCAGGTTGGCTCTTACAGGGGGCTGCTTGTGTGAAATGAACAATTGATCTCCCTGCAATCCACTGATCTAATACACGTTTCCTACAGAGAGGACAACGGCAACATGTATCGATCTTGGATCCTATGGTTATTTGCTCCAGGATCGGGTTGAGGCTGTAGGCTGGTGCTCCTGGAACGGGGTGTGCGCTGGAGCTGCACCCAGGGGCTGTAGCCGTCGCTTTTTGGCTGTTGAGCCCCCGCAGTGTCTGCGATGCCTTCACTTCCAGTGCATTATGACCAGTCACTCTTACCCTTGGGAAAACAGAATGTTCCGCTAAATGCTGCTGTTTCAGGGGCAGGAGGAAAGCAGGAGAGGACAGAGAGGACACACAGGGGTGTTTGCATTCCCGGGATCTTTCTCCTGGGACGAACAGGTCGGACCACACTCAGCGGGGGTGCTGGCAGACCCTGCAGGTGCACTGTGCAGCTCTGGGGGTGCTGGCTGGCGCTGCAGGTGTGCTGTGCAGCTCTGGGGGTGCTGGTTGGCGCTGCAGGTGCGCTGTGCAGCTCTGCGGTGCTGGCAGACCCTGCAGGTGCACTGTGCAGCTCTGGGGGTGCTGGCTGGCGCTGCAGGTGTGCTGTGCAGCTCTGGGGGTGCTGGCTGGCGCTGCAGGTGTGCTGTGCAGCTCTGGGGGTGCTGGCTGGCGCTGCAGGTGTGCTGTGCAGCTCTGGGGGTGCTGGCAGACCCTGCAGGTGCGCTGTGCAGCGCGGGCTCTGGGGGTGCTGGTGCCGCTCGCTTCGTTTGGTGCCCTGGCCCCGCAGGCCGGGCGGCAGCGGCGCGGAGCGGAGCAGTGCGCGGCGGCGCCGGCAGGGGGCAGTGGCGGCCCGCGCGGCCAGCGGTGTGAGGGCCCGGCCCGGGGGCGGCGGGGCCGAGCGGGGCTGAGGGCACGGGCCCGGGCGTGGGCCGGGGGAGCGGCACCCGCGGGGCTCCGGGCGCTGCAGGCGCAGTGCCGGCTGTAAACTTGGGGCGCACAACGAGACCCCACTCCTCACACCGATCGCCACGGGCCGGAGGGAAACGCGGCCGTGCTGGAAAGGGAAACTGATGGGCTGATACTCGCAGTATTGGTGCTGTCTTTCCCCGCTTAATTTATCAAGCTGCTGCAAAATACTTCACTGACACTAACAACAAGAGTTGAAATTAGATTGTCGTGAATGAAAACTGTAGGGAGGTTTTTGTTTGTAATGACTAATTCCAGCTGAAGGCTGAGTTTCTGCGTTCGTTTCTGGACTCGGGTCGGACTGCCCGGCAGCGAAGGTGCCTCCTGAGATGTCTTGGCTTTGTCTCAGTCCTGGGTTTGTGCTGCATGTTTTTGTGAGAAGAAACAACTGTACAATGTGTTGCTACAATTAAATTCGAAGGGATTTGTTATACAATGACCGTGCCATCGATGTGAGAGCGAAAATCATATGGAAACGTAGAGTGCTGTGAAAAGAAAAAAAAAATAAAAAAAATAAAAGTGAGGGGAGGGACAGGAGCGCTGGAATTGTTAAGTTCAGTCGTGTTCCGGAGAAAGCCCATCGGAAGGGTTAACCGGAGGGGCTGGGGGAGAGCAGCCACCTGGGACCTCACACCCAATTGGCAGTCTTTTGTAATATATAATTTGCCTAAAATTGCGCGCTGAGCACAAGCTTTTGTTTTCTAATTGATTTACGGTTTGAGCCACTTTTACCTCATCCCCTACTGTCCTGCACACAGTGCCAGCAAGTACATTACAGTGAGAAATGATAAATTACCACGCACTTGTGATGCTAATGCATCAAGAGTAAAAAACTGCGTACTACACGGAGCTTCATGCATTAAAAGCGTCGCAAAGATAGAGCTATGCAAAAAATCATTTGTATCTTCTGAAATAACCATTTGATCATTTGCTTCAATTTGTCTCAGAGACCTAATTGAACCTGAAGATTAAAATTTATGCTACTGTGGCTTTCCATTTGTGAATTGGAACAAAGTTCTAAAGAAAATGTGTGAATGGGGGCTTAAAGCTACCTGTATTTTCGAGACTTTAAATAAGTTAATTAGTCAGAAAAATAACAGGTATCAGAGCTTCTTAAAGCTTTTAGAAATTAAATGTTTGCTTGTTAATGAGAACTGTGTAATACATTCTCGAATGACACAGCTCCACTTTTAGATAGGTGCATGTGTAGATGGGTTAATGTAGATACTGCCTAATCAGTGTTTGTCACCAAAGCTATTTAAATATTTTAATCTTTTGTTTCAGAGGTGTAGTGCAACTTTTATGAATATGTTATGAATAACACTGTTACAGGTATCAAGGAGGAATTGAAAATCTTGTATAATATTTCTTGCATTTGTGAAATACCTCACAGATATCACAGAAGAGAGGAAAATGTGGACGTTGGTGAAAGCTAATGTGCACTTATTGTCTGATTTCTTTCCCCCACTGTGCATCAAGGGCTGGATTGTGTTTTACCTTCACATACTCGGTCCACCTTAAATTTTTTTTATTTTTGTACAATGTCTGTGGGTTCCAGCCTTGAAATATGAAGAAACAGATTTATGGCGGCTGCTGGGCACAACAAATTAAGTTGACAGTGATGTATGAGAGCATAATAGCATGATGATCCCTCTGTAGCGCGGCTGGACGCCTCCTGCTTCATTTGGCTCTTGTTAGGATCTGTTAGGCAGCTAAATAATGAAATTCTGCTGACTGATTTCTGATTTCTCTTTTCTTCCTCTTTTCACCTTTTTATGCAACTTATATTTTGCAGACCCATCCTAATGCCAGCAAACTGCCCTTAAAGGATTCTTTCACTTATGACGACTACAGGTTGGTCTGTCTTTTAATTTTTTTTTCTTTGTTTCTTTTCTGTTTTTACTATGGTAAACTGTGGGGCCCTGGAAGTCTTAATTGGTGGGAAAGCGCTATTGTTACTGAAATGTTAATTGTAGGATTTGATACTAATACACTTTATTAATGAAGAAGAAATTGAAATAAATATGCAGATTTTAATTGTTACAAAGGAATAGTCATTCATAATGAGCAGTTAGTTTAGCCCACTGGCACACATAGTCAGATTACTAAGGTAATTCCTTGTGTCTTAAGAAAATAATTTAATTGATGTGGCAGGAGTTTTAGGGTCTGGGGAAATGTTTTTAATTTCTTTCTTTTTTTTTCATAAAAGGCTTTACCAGCACGTACTAGCAAAAGTTAATATCTAGAGCTGCTGCTTTTGAACAGGAGAGCTGGAGAATGGAAGTTGTACACATGAAGCATGAGTGTCACTTGGAGGTGCTATAAGGGTTGACAGAACTAAGATAAAAAGAATAATAATTAAGATAATGACAGCTTTAATTCTGTTAAATGATTAAAATAGCATGAATAAAAGGCATTCATAAGGGATTTTCTAGCCTAGTTGTACTTGTGGGCAAGGCTATGAAAGTGGGATTTCCAAAGCATGCCTCCTTCACTTAAAGGGTCACTGAGGAACACATCAACTTACACGTGAAGTACTCTAAAATTTTACAGACAAATTGCAACAATTAACAAGAAGAATATTGTTACTGTGTTTCAAGCCCTGTTTGTATATCAGAATTATCCACAATTTAACTTTAACTTTCTTTTTAGACATTACATTGATTTCAGTTCGCCACTGGCTTTCTTATCAATCTAATTCTTCTGAAGAAATCCTTCAGGAGTCTTATTCTGTATATTAAGTACATGTTAGTAGTGGAGTCTGTGGGAATTAAAATTATTTTGACCTTCTCCTGGTGATGTCTTTTTTTCCCTCAAAAAACCCCACAACACATATATGTAGTAAGGCCAGAACATGGTGAGACTAAGATTCCTTTTTCCACTGGTGTTTAATATTAATTTTTGTCAGGTATAAAATAAAAAATTAATTTCTAGGAAATACTGAAATTCTAAGCTTTATAACAATTTTTATGTTTGGAAAGGTGTCTTGCATTTTGTTCACTTAACCTGACTTAGAAGGGTTTTGAATGATGTCCATGAGGTAAAGAATTAAATAATACTCTCTTCATGGTTTTTACCTGGATATCTGTTTGGAATGTTGTGGCTTTTTTTCCTCTCAATACTATTGAGCAGAAAATTTAGCAATACTGACCTAAGCCAAAATCTTGCAAATTGGAGAGGAACACTTACCAAAAGATCGTGCTTGTGTCAGGTGGTTGCACTGGTTTCCAGTTCATGCAGTATATAAGCTTTTTAGAGAGTGAGGGGGAAAATACACGCTGGCTCTTACAAGAGTTTGCACATAGATGAGAGCTCCTGATGCCCAGTAGGAAAAGCTGCGGGAGCAGGTGACCGTGGGTTTGGGATGTGTAGTGTGAGGTACATAACAGTGGTGGAGGGCTGGGAAGCAGAAGCTGACAAAGGGAGTGCATCCTGGCTGAGGAATGCAGCCAATGGAAGGTGTGAAGATTCTCTTCCAAAGAGAAGAGGGATCACAGTCCTGGTTTGGTATTTGTTCTGTGTGCATGTCTTGGAAACCTGGGAGCTGCTGCTTTTCCTGCAAGTGACATTGCCTTCTACTGTTCCTATAGTTGGTGTGGTCTTTAAGGAAACTTAAGTTTGGAAACTCCCAGTCTAAATGATTGCTTCAGGTGGGACTATGGCCAATTGTATTTTAATGCTCTGAAAATTGACCATCTCATGTTTTTACCTTTTGCAGATGGGCAGTTTCCTCTGTTATGACACGGCAGAACCAGATTCCAACAGAAGATGGTTCCAGAGTTACACTGGCTCTAATACCTTTATGGGACATGTGTAATCATACTAATGGACTGGTAAGGAGTTCTTCAGTGTTGCTGAAAGACTTTAAAGCCTAAGTATGAAGTCTTTCAACTGCTCTACAACAGTTTAGTAACACTTTCTGTTATGTTTCTTAACACATGTATGTTATCTTCCCAAGAAACCCTAAAAAACTAATATCTGAAAGAAAGGTTTGTCAGTTTCTCAAATATCTTATGATAGCTTTTCAGGGAAAGCTTTCTTCATCTAGAGAAAACTTTACAAGTGATTTGATACTTGTGTAAAGTTATGTCTTATGTACATAGAGTGTACTTTTTGAAGTTTTCATTTACATGAAATGTTTTGTCCAGACAAGTCTGAATAGTGTCCTGACATGGAGCTTTGTTTCTGGTGAGCTGAAAAAGATGCACAGTACTGGACAGAATTGTTCTGAGAACAGAAAGCAGGCACTGATGGATGTTGCCTCTTGTAGCTGCCACTAGGGAAAGTGGTTAGAGATTTGCAACTAAGAAATACTGCCTGCTCTCCTAACCGTGCCCAAAGAGCCTTGTTATAGAGACAGCAACAACAAGAACAAAGCCTAGTTCAACAAAAACAGTACATCTGTTACTACATCAAAGAAACAAAATGCAAAAATACTACTTTAGGGCATATTAAACATTTAAAAGGTGACATATGTATATAGAAAGTCAGACCTGCTGACATTTTGGCTTACGTGCGCTAGTTCAGGGGATGATTCCTGATTTCATTAACAGACTAGTTAATGCTGAGGTGAGGAAATGGAAACCCAGAGCGGCTGGTTTATCAATGTCATTTAGTCATGCTCATGTACACTTCAAAAGTCATACCCCCTACTTGTGTTTCCAGTAGATATTATTTATTGTAAGCACTGGATATAACCATCCTATTCAAGTGATCTGGTTCTTTTGTGGGAGGGTTGACCTGAGTGTTAGGACAGCAGTATGTGTTAGTGCTGTTGGTATAAAAAAAGTCTGTTTTAGATGAACAAACTGTAAAGCAAGTTGTTTTTCACTTGACATTTAGCTAATTTAGTGTTACTATGACTGTATCAATTACAGCATGGTAGGCTAGGCTACGAAGTTGCAAGTGTTTGGGGTTTATTATTTATTTCTTTTTCCTTATTGCAAGGTGATTACATGTTGTTCTTGCCTTTACAGTGATTCTTGCCTTTGCCTATTTGTTGTGCAATCTCAAAGCTTTGATTTAGCAATAAAGTTCATATGAGAGTCTTCAGTATAAAAAAAACTGCTTAAAATTCAGAAATGTGTATTTTTGTAATATAAGTTGTAGCTGCAAGCATCAGTACTTCCTGTACCCTTTTCCTGCTGGGCATCTCTTTCAGATGCTTTTGCAGAGACTTGTCTGTATTCATTAGACAACTCTTAATGAATGCCTTCAAAGTTGGGATTAGAGTAAAGAGGAAGAGAATCAAGGTTCTGTGAGGGAAAATTTAAGTAGCATATATTAAAAGAGCAGCTATTTATGTTGTTTTACTCATTCAAACTTCTATTTAAATTGACAAAGTAATTTTTATTTTTATTATGCTGTTTAACAGTAGGTTTGATATGGAGCCAGCCTCTGGAGCCAAACCTCCTAATGCAGTAGTATATCAGGATTTGAAACATTTTTTTATGCTGAAGTATATCCTAAAGGGAAAAGGGGGTTGTGCTGAACTTAGATATTTTGTATATATGTAAAGATTTCAGTAATTTATTTCATATTTCTACAGAAAATAACTTAAATGGATATAAATTCAGGAAGGATAGAAAACTGTAGTATTGGTGATGGGCTAAGAAAAGCTACTAAAGCTATTTCTGTTGGGTGCTACTTGCCTTGTACTATTAGAAATGGGGGGGGTGACTGCTAAGATAACTGTAAGCTGCCTATATCACAGCTTATATTATTGTAGAGTGAGGTGAGGGTGGGCTCTGCTCTCCTCATAGCACAATCCCTTTAAAATACATGAAGGGAACTGTTATTCATTGCAGGAAAGTAAGAAACAAAGGATGGCATTGAATGCACCCCTGTGTAGTTTATTCCAAATGTAGTGCTGAAATACCTCCCAAGTCAATCAGCTACCATATATATCCCTGTTCATGCTTTATTCCACAGGGCCCCTTTCCATGAGCTAGATAATAAAATGCTCTTTGGATTTGAACTGGAGCTAGGTCCATCCAGCTTTTCCTTGCTTCTGACACTATTAATTAGATCAACCTGCCTCTAAGAACTATTTCAAAATGGTTGTCTTCATGCATTTCTCATTGTTATTCTTTAGTGGGATTGTATTTTGACAGTCAGAGGTTGATTACCAGTTCTGACAGAGCTTTGAATAAGCTACATTCTGCCTGTTGGGCTGGGTCCATCCTTAATCACTGACCAAGCAGACTATTGCATTCTTTATACACAACTTGAAATTCATGTATCAGTCTGCTTCAGAAATAAAACTGAAGGGATGCAATTTGTCAGCTATCATGTGGGAAGAGAAGTAAACACCCTGTTAATTCTCTTACGTGACTGCTATTAAAAGAAAGAGGAAATAGGAGTCTAGCACTCCATTATGCTTTATATAAAAGTCTTTCAGAAGTGCTGCTGGGTTTTGTGTGTTGTTTTGGGGTTTTTTTTTTTAAAGCAAAACTAAAAATTTAAAAGAAAGATCAGTACTCCATTGAGGCATGCTTAAACTGACAGAATCCTCTTCTTAAAATAATGGAATTTCCCCAGTCTGTGAAAGCCTCCTGTTCCACTGGCATTTCAAAGGATTGTAATGGACTTTTCACATTCAGAACTATTTCACTGAGTTTGCACAAAGAAAATTTCAGGACAGGTCAAGAGTTTCTTTTTTTGGATGAAAAGTACAGTTTTTCAGAAGATGACTGTATTTGAACTAGGAAGGTAGATTTGTCATCCTCTAGCATTTGTAACCTGCAGTACCGGATAGGATAACTTTCTAAACCGGAGATCTTAATTAAAATTGTGCAGTCCAAATTAGAGAATGCACAGGAATTTTTGTGTTCAAGAACTGCAGGCTGTGTTTCTCAGTGGGCTGTATTGACTCTCGTGTTCTTTACTGATCTCCACAAACCCATTAAACAGACCTGCAGTGACGCATCTGCACAGGGAGGTTTCTGCAAGCGTCTGCAGGGCTGGGCTGCCCGTGCTTGGGGCTGACATTTTGGATTTGCTCCATTTGAAAGCACTGTTTTGGCTGACAAATGCACATTTAATGATGCAAGCAGTGCAAAACTATTAATGTATAAGCCATCAACCAAGCTTTTGAAATAATCTGAGGAGTTCTGTCTTTGGACAAGCTGCATCCATGATGGGAATCGGGGTATACTGCAACTCACGTCAGTCAGCTTACAAAAAAAGTATGTTTTCATTTTCAAAGGCTGAGAGAGAATCGTTGGCTTCTTCTAGGTTTTTCCCCAGGCCAAGAGCATATTTTTCCATAAGTTACCTCTGTCAGTACTGAACTCAGACTACCTACCATAAAAGTTGTTTTTCTGATTTTTCAGCAGCTTATGCTCCATACTGTGGCTGCATCTCTCGTCATACTATTCAAGAACATGCTGTTTGTCACTTAATAAAAAAAATTCCATTTTTAGGATAGCTTTACTTGTTAGTGTGACCCCTTTACAGTTTAGTAATTATTTTTGGGGAAGTACAGGTTTGTCAAGAGAGTTTATCCTCTTCCATTGCTAGCTACCATCTCAAAAATCCTTTTAGCATTTTAAGAGTATTACTTAACTTTTAGATAAAGGGATTATTTTCAAGTAAATTATAATTCTCTGAAGATTGTATCCCCTAAAGATCCACAGTTATCTAATCCTTTTTCATTGAGAGATCAAAAATGTGTTGGCAGTTGAAGGATAAAGCACAGCATATAGAGCTGTCAGTGCCTTGCTCCCTTGGGCCTCATGGGAGTGACTGAAAGCTGCAGAACTTTATAACAAGCTGCTGGCTTTAGCATGGTACTTTTTGCTCTATGGAGGGTACCTTCCTCAGAGCCTTCTGTTCACTTCAGGTAGGTTATTTCCTCCTTTAGATTTCTTTAATGCAGAGACTTTTTTAAAAAAGAGATTGCTCAGGAATCATAAAGCAATCACTATCAGCTATATTCTATTGTGCTGAGAAAGAAATGTGTGCAATTCCTATTGTTCATATTTATTTCCAATAGGAAAATTTGTCAGTGATGGGAGAGAGAAATATAAAATGCTAAAGGTGCTTTTGTCACTCTTTTCCTGGATAGATCACTACAGGCTACAATTTGGAAGATGACCGGTGTGAATGTGTAGCACTTCAAGATTTCAAGGCTGGAGAACAGGTAGTGTGAAGAGTTCTCTACATTACTGTTGTTCCATTAAGTTCTGTGAACACTTGGTGACTCCCTAGAAAATTTTAATAATGTAGTGGTATGGATTAAACCCTGCTATATTTGAATTTTATTATGCTGAGCTAATTTTGAGTGAAAATGCTACCAAATTAAGTACATATACATTTTTCAGAATATTTTCTATTACTTGGTAGACGCTGATTGTAGGAGAGTTTTATTCCTCGTATTTTATAGAACTAGTTGAAATATTTAATCATTGGTGAGTGAACATACACAGCCACCAAGTTTGGTATTCTGGAAGAACCTAGTAAAAGGCCATATCCAGAGGACCAAAGATAAATATTTTTTAGATTTGTCTGCAATAATGGAGAGTCTTTTTTAACAATTGTGTTTGTTGGCTTATGTTTCTTGTTAGTCTTCATTCATTTAAAAGAGGTGAAATGCAGTACAGTTTCCAGTCATTTTAACCCATGCTGTTGTCATTGCAATGCTTAGTGGAAATGAGAAAGGACCTAAAAACACACTCCATCCCTTTCACACAGGCATGCATGCATTTACTCTTCATCCTGAGACAGCAGGAGAGTCTTGCAAAGATGCATGGAACAGTTCAGAATCCAGTATTTTGATCAGAACTGCTCAAAACAAAAACTGAGTGTCCAAACCAGTGATGCACTGAAGACAGTGGTTGTAGGAGTGCAGGAAGCTCCTGTGCTGTGTCAGCAGCAAGCCTAAATCCTCAAGTGGAGCAGCATTCCTTTTCTGACTACTGCCTCTGCAGTCAGCGTGGCCAGACAAAGCCTTTGTCTATGAAACATCCTGAAATGTTTTGTAACTCAGCTTCTGAGTTACTACTTTTACTCTGTTATTTTGCCAGTCTTACAATTGATAATATTTTGATTTTAATTTTTCTTTTGTATTGTTATCTTTTTTAACAAAGAAGTGTCTGGCATTTTTTCCTTATTGAACACATCTTTCCAAAAGTGTATTTATCCTCATTGCTATGCTGAGGTTTACAGTGATTGTATATTTTTGCTCTCAGAATTTGTTATGGTAGTCAAATATTTTCTGTTTTTTCCAATTGTGGTGTGATGAGTTAAAAGGGGTCCACAGTTTTTCCAGAAGTGATCCAATTTATAATTTTCCACAGCTGGCAATGGATGTGTCATATAGCTGTTCTGGCTGCTCTTTCCATTTCAATTATAGAGGGTTCCTATATTTCAATTTTATTTTAGTAGTTTCACTTTGTCTGCTATTTATCAGAATTTCTGTGCAAACTTTAACTGTTAGTGACATCTTTAAAGCACTGTAATTATATAATGCTTCAGTCCTTTAATATACCATGCAGATGTCATTTCTTACAGTTTCAGCAGGAAGAGTCTATGATCCATGCTTTTACTACTAAAAGATGTTAGGCAGCAGAGGTCCACAGAGTCTGTCAAACACTGCCCTGAAATAAAGCAATTCTCACTCTGTTTAACTGGATTTTTTGTAAAACAGTCTTGGGGTGTAAGAGCATGCTGTGTAATCTATACATGATATGTGACTTTCAGTTTAATATGAGAGGTATCACAGTAGTTTTAAAACTTGAGAGGGTGAGCAACTCTCTGCTTACCCACTGCCTCTAATACACCTAGTCAGGTCACGTGTTCACCATATGAGTGTGTTACAGTATAAAGTTCAGTATAATTCAATATCATACTTAAGCATTTAGTGCTTAGGATAAACAGCTCTTATACAAAATTGAAAACAGAGAAAGTAAATGGCATCATTGCTCTTACTGAGCCCTTTAGAGAGCACTGTGCCTTTCTCTGTCAACTAGAGAGGAATGGAAGCTTGCAGGCATCCAGAGCCTGCTGTACCCTGAGGTTCTGAAGGGAATTCTGTAACTGCTGGAAGTTTTTTTTCTGATTGACAATTTTGTTATCAAACACAAATGGGAAAATATCCTCTTGATGTGGGAGAATACAATTGCTACTCTGACCTCTAGTCCCATGAATTTCATACCGCCTAGCCCTGAGTTAAATACATTCTGCAGGTTATATTTAGCAACTTCTTTTTAAATGTGAATTAAAGTAACTATGTACTTTATAGAAAAGAGTTCAGAGTAAAACAAAAATAAATACTGGCTGAACACAGCTCAGATCTCTCTGTATGATGTACTGTGGTATATCCATATCTTAAGGTAACATTTAAATGAAAGCAAAGTTGATCTATCAGCAGTATAGTTTTGAGTGGACATTTAGTTGGGGAAAATGACTCCAGAAACACCATTTCTTATAATGGGCCCTCCTTGTCTCTGATTTTTTTTTAGCCTTTAATAAACCCTTGAAAATTTATTTCTGTATGCTGGTACTTTATGTCAGTGTGAGAAATCAGAACATTTTTATTTTCAAGTACAGAATAAGAATTTATTCTTGGCTTTCAAAGTCTCTGTTCCATGGATATGTTTACAGCTACCTCTAAAGTGTAATTGCCACACTGTATACAGCATGTGGGTCAATACAAAGCATGTTTCTTCATATAACCAAATATACCTTGTACTCAGAATAGTAACTCTTCTAGAAAATAACTTTCAAATTATGTCAATTTCGTGAGCTGATCTTAAGCTTTTTTTCCCGTCCCTTCACTTCTCTTTTCATCCTTCTAGATTTACATTTTTTATGGCACTCGGTCAAACGCTGAATTTGTGATCCACAGTGGTTTTTTCTTTGATAATAATTCACATGACAGAGTGAAAATAAAGCTTGGCGTGAGTAAAAGTGACAGGCTGTATGCTATGAAGGCAGAGGTCTTAGCTCGTGCTGGTATCCCAACGTAAGTAAAACACAATGCCATGGGTTTTTAAAAATATTTCCAAAGTATATAGTGTCCAGTAGAGCATAGATGAAGCTCTTTTGTGATAATTTCCTTAGGTGTAATATGTCTGCTGTTTGTATAGCAAATTAAAGTTATTGTAATAATATTTACAGAAGAGCTATATTATCATCTAATTTGAACCATATATAAGGAAAAAAGCCTTTGCTTTAATAACCATTTGAACAAAAATAGAGCAAGGATTAATTTGAAACAATCTGTGGTTTTACTTTCTTTCCTGTCCCTTGCAGACATACTACAATGCTCAGTATGTGAATCACAGCATTTTCCTTTAGTCATTTCAGTCCAGAGGGTACTATTAGGAGCAGCAGACATGAAACATTGCATTTTCATGAATTTATTATGAAAGCTGTATAAAATAATTTTAAGTGTAAAATAGTAGAGATAATCATTCTTTTCAGACACAAGTTAAGGAAGCTTTTCTGTTTGAGCTAATATTATCTAATTTTAAGTCACTTTTGTAGCAGTATATTTATTGTATACTGTATGGTCTTTTATGTTAAAATAAGTTAAAAGATATGACAATTGGACTTGTATTTACTGTTTTCTTTGATTGTTTCTTTTATTAGTTCAAGTGTTTTTGCCTTGCACTCCACTGAGCCTGCAATCTCTGCCCAGCTTTTGGCTTTCCTTCGAGTGTTTTGTATGAGTGAAGGTAGGATGTCTTATTAAGATAACCTAATTTATGTTTGTCTTGTTGTGGGGATTTTTGATTGGTTTTTTTGTTAGTGTGGGAATGGGATAGTAATTTAAATAAAAGATTAAGATAAATTATCAGAAAAGTTGAGGAGTTTAGGTTAAAAAGGAATCTATAACCTACTGAGAGCCCCAATCTTTGGCCATGTCATCTAGGGAATATTTCAGTAACTCTGAAAGCATGAGATGATACAATTTTTTATTTCTTTTCATATCCCAGACTTGTGAATGAGTGACCTTTGGAGTTTGATCTCTAGTTCTTAGGTTTCAAAATAGTTTGCAGAACAAGATTGTGCAAGACCTAGGGGTTTACATGCTTCAAATCACAGTGTTTTAGTCGTCACCACTGGAATAATTTATGTATGGAATTGGAATATTCTGTACTGTAGAGGAAATATGGAAGAGACATTTCAAAGTTGAGTTTTTTCAATATTTTAGTAATTTGTGATTAAATATTCAATATTTTGGTAATTGGTAATCTAAAACAAATTTCTATATTTGCAGACTGTCTTTCTAGAGTTTCTCTTCTGTTACTTTTATTTGTGGGGCAAAATATGTGTACATTTAATAAATATTCACCTTATTTGTGCATGTGAAACTTCTCATTAAATGCTCATAGTAGCTTTTTGTTGGTTAGATGCAGTTTTGAAGGTTATGGATGTGACAGTTTGTCATGACAGTGAGAGAACTCTCTTGCAGTTAGGAATACTGTGCAGATGATGTGGATTTTTTGTGCCAGCAGGAATACTAAAGTAGTTGAGGTTTTGCATGTGGTCTATTTTCTTTCTTTAATAAAAACAATGTAACTTAGTGTCATGCTTTCACTTCCTCCTGTCATCCATATTTTAGAACTTACTAAGAAATTAGAATATACTGAAACAGTTGAGTTGGAAAGGCCCTACACCATCCATCTCTTCTAATTGCCTCATACTTCTGGGAAGTAAATTCAAAGGAAGAAAATTTTAGGATGCTGATGAGGGAGTGAATTTTGGCTTGGAGAGGAAAATGTAGCTAGTGAATGCTTTAATTGTATTTCTCTGGAATATGATTGTGCTCACTTTATATGTCTTAAATACTGTTTAAGAAAACTGTTTATTGAGAAAGTGCATGCAAGTTCTTGGTGAAGTTTGTCATACCTGCTTTGCCGTAATCAAATTTATTAATTAAAACTTAAATGAAATCTATGTAATGTCAAGGAGCTGATTAAATGTTTTCTGCTCTTGAGTTTTGATGGATGTCTTTTCTGACCACCTGTAGGAAGTTTCTGCTACTGAAAAAGATTATCAAAACAATAGGAAAAAGAATTCCATTGCTATTTGCGCACTGTTTGGTCTGTTCCTTTATTCTCAAAAAGTTCGTTGCACTTGTTACAAATTTACTCCCTTTCATTTATGAATGATTTTACAAAACATTCTGTTTCACTGACACAGGTTTACGCTGTGTATGAGAGGCTGTGATGTCTAAAGTATCTTTATTTCCAGGTGGAGAGAAGTCCCATTTTCTGCTGACCTGAAGACTTTCAGTTGTCTCTTTGAGGCAAATCCTAGAAAAAAAGCAGCATATCTGATAATTCTAATTTGAGGAAAGGGTTATTTTTTGCTAGCTGCTCAAAGATATACAATTGAAAATAAATCTTTCTGCAGTTTGTCAACTGACAAAGTGAATGATGAGATGGTTTTTTAACAGATTGGTTTTATACTTATTGCAGAAGAGCTGAAGGAGCACTTGATAGGTGAGCATGCGATTGGCAAAATCTTCACTCTGGGGAACTCTGATTTTCCTGTTAGCTGGGACAATGAAGTTAAACTTTGGACATTCCTGGAAGCCAGAGCATCCCTTCTTTTGAAAACCTATAAAACAACTGTGGAGGTAAAATTATCATTATGTGTAATTTAAAGGTCTGAGTTCTTCTGTGCATTGAGATTGTAGGAAAAGATATTTTGTCCTCCATTTTGTCTTTGCAAACTTCAACCTGAATGTTAGTACATAATTCATTCTGTACTTTTTAAGTGCAGAAACAGTTTTGCATTATCTAAGTAAAATCAAATAAGATTGCAAAAAAGGAAATTTTGTTAATGTAATTTTGTTAATGTATTTTTCCTTTGATTTTCCAAGTAGAGACTACCTGGTTTTTTCTCTGCAAATAAGATGGGGAATCAGCTTCAACTTGTTGTCTTTAGTTGCATTCTCCAGACTGCAAAGAAATGTGCTCCTATTGCAAATGTATAAGTGAACCTACATGTTGCATGTATTTGTGAAATAACCTGACTTTGCTTGTCAGGCAGACTGATTTATGTACAGAAATTTTGGGCTTTTTTATGATTTCATGATAAATTTCATTGAGGCTCCTTGCAGACCCCCCTCATGTCCATTTGGCTCTGCCTGGAGAGCCTGGTGTCCCTGCCTGCTCAGAGAAAGAGATGAGGTGAGGAGCTGTTTTATTGTGTTAGGTGTTAGTAGCAGACTTGCTTTTTCTTTTCTAACAGGTCGATAAGTCCTTCCTGGAGACTCATGACCTCACTCCCCATGCGATAATGGCCATCAAACTGCGCTTAGGTGAAAAAGAGATCCTGGAGAAGGCAGTGAAGAGCGCAGCTGCCAGCAGAGAGTATTACACCAAACAAATGGCAGATGGAGCTCCGCTTCCGAAGTATGACAAGGGCCATATTGCCTTGTTGGAGAACACTGTGGCAGACTCTAGACTCCCAATTGTCTTGAGAAACCTAGAAGATGTGGAAGAGCAAGGGGACTTAAAGATTGATGAAGCCATTGATGCTGAAGTCACAGAGAATGGGTTTGTAAATGGTGAAAACTCTTTATTTAATGGGACCAAATCAGAAAGTGAAAATCTTAGTAAAGAGAAAAGCAACAGAGGGACTGAAGATGCCAAAGAATCTTCTTCAGAAAGTACTGATGAGGTTAAAGAATAGTCCTAAAATTTTACCTTCTTGTGAAATTAAACTAGCTGAAGTTTATCAACAGTGCATTTATGTTGGTGTGTTTCTTTGTTAACATTTCTCTTTCTGCAGAGAAAAATGGTTTTGCTGCTTTATATAAAAATGAATTTTTAAGTTATTTAAAAGATTTAGCATCCCTTTTCAATTAAGATTGCCATCTTGCTTTCAGGCAAAAACTGGGGAAAGAGGTGCCTTTGGAAGATTTTGCAGCCTTTTGTTGAACCAAATGTATTTTCTTCCTGGGGAAGAATTAAGCTCTTCTATCTGCTGTGCGTTTGTTGTTCTGTCACTCTGACTACCGAAATTCAAAGCTTGCTCTGCCTCCTGCCAAGAAAAGCAGAAGGCAGGACTGACTCGGTATTCAGCATGAAGGTAGGGGAGCAGTACAGCAGAAAACTGAATGAAAGGATCAGAAACTTGGGAGACTGGAGGAAAACCTGTTTAAAATCAGGTGTGCCAGTCCAGAAAAAGGTAAGGTGGCAACCTTATGATTGGTCGTTTTAAATGTCAATGAGAATCCAAATTGTATACACTTAAAGTGATCTCTGAAGATTTCAGTTTACTTTGTCTTTTGTTTACTGTATAAAACATCTTTCTTCTTCAGTCGGAGTTAGGCTGCTACAATACAACATTCATGGACTTTTAAAGGCTGACTACTTTTTATTTCCAGGCAGTAGTTTTTATTTACAGTGTTGGCAGAGCTACTGGAGATTTTGCAAGCAGATAGGCCAAGCCACAGCTTTAAACTGATCAAAGTGAGGTCACTTCCCAGCTTCTTCAGGTTTTCACAATGAGCTAGAGATTTTCACAGCAACACTTTTGACTAAACCATTATTAAAAGGAAAATATTAATAATGTTCTTGTCCGCTACTCCTTCATTTCTGTGTTGTTGAATGTAACATTGAATCCACATGGTTACCTGATCTTACTCAACTTTGTCTTTTGGTTAAGATATTAATTGATCCTGCTTCCTCAAAGGAAATGGCAAACAGGTTTATGTATTTTTGGCCCAAGTCCAAACCACAGCCAAGTCTGCAGTGCTTTTTGCCATTTAGATTGTGTCTTCATCTGATGTACATTTCTTGCAATACGTCCACAACTTAAGCAGGGCTACTGTCACCAGCAGTTTTGGTCACTATCATAGTACGTGTTTGAACTCCTAGGTGGAAACCATACAGTCCTAGCACTGTGCAGTATTAGAACAAGGGTAATTCCATGGCTTGACTTTGAAATTACCAGCATATTAGGAGGAGAGGAGGGCAGAATATTTTTAGTTTGTGGATCAATTCAGAGGAGTATAAAGAGGTTTAAATCTGTTCTCAATATTAAGGACTTTGTCTTTTATTTTTGCATCCTTAAGTTCATGATAATGGATAGAATGGAAAGCTTGGACAGTTGTTTAAAACTCAATAGAGGTTGCAAACTGCTCATCTAAGATCAGTTGCAGTAAAACGTCTTTTGGCACATTTGTAGTTTTTTTAGCCTTTGCTTCTTTCATACTGCAACCTGGAACATGTGTTTTTGCATCAATCTTTGGTGCAATACACATTTAAGTAGTGACCTTCTTTCAGGTTGTCATAGAAGTTCTGGTGTTCAGCTAGTATCAGTGTGGGGAAAATAGAAAAAATAGTTTTTTAAAAAGTATTTCACTAAGAATGGCGTGTTGCCATTGCACCTTGGATATTGCTTCATCACTAACAAGATGCTGGACCAGTATTTTTGTAACTATATGCTGCCTTTGGTAGAATGTTATGGAATTGTCTTGACAATTTAAATGTCATACAAGAGTCATTACATTTTGGTTTTTATTAGGACCAATACTCCACTTCTGTTTCTGCCACTTACATTGCACAACATTGTACGAGATACTAAGATGCGATTCTGAAACTAGCCTTCCCTGAAAATTATAACTGTAATTCAGAATTTAAATGCTTTGATTCAATCTGATACACTGTATTTTGTTCCAGTATTTGCTAATATCTATGGCTTAGCAAAGCCTGTGATCACCACAGGACAGAATGTGTGGGTTTTCTTGAATAAAATATAGTTCTACCATGTCTTCACTAGTGAGTGTATTATACAAACAAAACCTCTACCTGCTACTGACTGCTGTATCTTTTGGGGTCTGTGGGGAGAGGTGTACAGATGAAGATTAAAGGACAAATAGCTGGGGAAAAAAGCAAAAAAAGGATTCTAGTAAAAGAAAGGGAAAGTGTTCTGCTGAGTGCATGGTCAAATTCTTACTCTTCATCTGTTAGTGTTATTTAGAAAAAATATGTTACACACAATAAAAATAGTGAGTAATCTAATTTTGTAATTTGCATTTTTCCTTTATGCATGTAATGGTTCCTTCAGAAGCACTAACCTAAGACTTAAGCTTTTGAAAACTGAGGTGAAAACAAAAAAATTGGCACTGATGAGCCCTTATTACCATCTGTCATGAAAACAGACCTTTCAAAGCATTTTAAAGTTAACTTTCTTCATAATGTTTGGTTAAGAGGCTGTTCACACTAATCCCAGGCTAAATGCCAAATCTTGCTTCTGTTTAGCTATCTAAAGTATTCCTGTAAGAAAGACATCACTTGCATTTCTCGGACTGTTCTCCAAAAGCAAAACAGGGGAAAAAAAGCCTTTTGAATTTTACACGAACCTACCGACTGATGAATCATTTCCCTAACAACCTGTAACTAGTTTGGGACTGTGCCATGAGGTGATGTCCATATTTCCCTCTTGATAAAGTCAAATATACAAAATTGAGCAACAACTGCCAGCCTGAAAAACGTTTTTAAAGTGTAAATGCAACTGTAGCTTAAGTGCTGTCATGAGTGAAGGAGAAATGAGAGCCTTCTGGCTGGGGAGGTGGGATGGGTTTTGTTCTTGGCTAGAATAAATATTCTTTGCCTCAGACATCATTATAAGGTGGTATGTACAGAAAATCTGTGCAACCCAACAGTAGCTGCCTTCTTGAGGCTGATTTGCCTTTAGGGAGGAATGATCATCATGAAGTCATGAAACTCGCATGATTCAAAGGTATTCTGGAAGATTTAATGTACAAAATCTCCTCTAGTTCACATGTTTAAAAAGAGTATGTAGTATCTACTGCTGCCCCTTCTCTCTCCTTCATTTTATAGAAAGGCATGTGAAGTAATTATGAAACATCATTTGAAGTATTTCAACCAGACAAAAGAAAGGTGCTCCCAAAATCTTCTTTTCTGATTTTATGGACTGAAACTCAGTCCAGGTATTTCTTATACTCTTTTCCAAACAGGAGCTTTCAGTAAAAGCATTGCCCAAATTTATCTGATGAAGCAATACCCATCCCTTTTCCTCTAGAAGATTTTTAACTGATCCTTGTTGAAGTCAGATATGACCACATGATTTTCACGTAATTACCATCTATATTTAATAGTTTCCATTGAGTTTCCTTCTTTGCATGCACTGCATGCTGTGCAAAGTACAGCACATAAATTGGTGACTCATGGTTAGAAGAGTTTTCTTAGCATTTCGCGGGTTCTACATCTATTTCCTAACAAATGCCACAAGTTTGGAAACCATGTGGAGGATTTTTCAGTTAAAAAAAAACCCTCTCAGTCCATAATTAAGAAAAAAGCAAACCACAAATGGTCCTGGTTTCTGGACCTGGTGTAATTTTTAATCGTGGAAGATTAAGCTAGGTAGGGGAGGAAACTGAGGTGATGTCCTTTCCTAAGTGGAAAAGAGGAGCTGGACAAGTGAACAACACTAGTTTGTCCAGCTAGCAGTTTGTCCCCTGCCAGGGAGGCAGGAGTTGCTGTTCTGAAGAATAGGAAGTTCAGCAATTATTTCAGTGAGTATACAAAATAATCTCCAATTAGTTCTGTAATTACTGTGAAATTTCACAATTGGGTGAGGGCTTCACTATGGATCACAAACAGTTGTGTTGAACTGGCAGTGAAGAGCAGATGTAAGTGGCTGCTGCCTTGTTGTCAGTGCAGTGCTGGGGTAATTTCAGGGAGTCTGGACTGGACTTACTGTTGTCCATTGACTGCTCCTTTGCCATTGTGGGACAACTGCTCAGTACGGGGGGTTAAGGAAAGGCTTTGCAAATCCAGCATGGAAGGACTGGACAAAGCCACAGAGAGCAGTGTGGAAATAGAAGACAGTGTATTCAGGTCAGTCACTTGAAACAATGTGTCTAGAGTTAGGGCCTGCATCTACATGATATTTTGTGTATAGCACTATTTTATTATTTAAAGTTGATCAAGCACAGAAGAAGCTTCTGAACCTGTGTCTTCTGTCTTTCAGTCTGGAGAAACCAGACAATCATTTTCCAATTAAATCTAGTTCAGACATGGCAAAATAGTTCATGCTGACCACCACATCTTGTGGTGCATCTTCGAGCACTTTGATGTGATGAATTGGAGTGAAACAGATCTGTAGCCCTTTGAGACTTTGCTTCTTCAGAAAGGTGCTTAAAATCTGCATGAGTATAGGGGATAGAATCTTGCACATGACTGATATTGGTTTCACAACTGAGTCACTACTACTTAAGCACAGATTCAAACACCATCAGAACTAGGTAACTGAACTTAAACAGTGGTATTTTATTTAAGTTTACTGCTTTTAAGAAATGGGCTAACTTGCCAGCCCTGAGCACACGAATCAATTGTCCTCTGAGCAGGATTAACAGGGGCAAAAAAGCAAATTTCCCTGTAACATCCCATGCATGGCAAGTACCAAAAGTAGCTTCATTCCAGCTTGCAGCCTTGTTTCACTTACACACGTTTCTGACCAGGTACCGTCTTGCTTTGCGTTCAGCTGGGGCAACCTGCCTGTTCCCTAGATGCATTTCTATCTGTGGAGTAGTGTAGGCTGTCCTCTTGGCTAATTCATCAGTGTTTGACATGGTGCTGTGGAAGTCAGTAGATTTCACATTGTGCTGCTATCTTGGACCCATGCAAATGGAGTATTCATTTCTTTCTCTTAGCTTTCTTTTTGCAAATGCTCTTTGATTTAAATATGCTGCGGTTTGTTGTCGTATTCACAGAAGTTGCCTGTTCCTCCTATGTAAGGCTGAAATTTGGAAACTGTGTAGGTGTCCTGCATCCAGCAACTGCTTTATGATATGGGTTTAAGGGAAATTCCATTCCCTTTGCTTTATCCCACACTGGTTCACCGCTTTCAGTAATGTTAATACCTCAGCCAAGACTCCTAATTTCAGCACTACTAAGTGGGCTTGTACACAGATTTGTGGTCCAAAGGTATGAATAAAGTGCTTTAAAACTGAATCTCCATGCTGAAACCGGCATGCACAAACAGCCTCCTCTGAACTGCAAAGGAATTTTTAGATTGCCTTGAATATCTATAAGTCCCACTGCCTTGCAGCAATTAATTCAAGTGATTGGATGCTAGGAATGGTTTATTATAATTGCACACAGGTAGTAATTTATTAGGGTGGCTGTTTCTTTTGGCATATGTCAAGAAGGTCAGAGTTTAGGCTTTTTTGGACATTAACCTAGTCTTCTGTAACTCTGAAGTTCCACTTTTTGGTCATTAATTTTGTACATGCTGAGATTGTGACAATTAACCCACTTAATAAAGGTCAAGTTTCAATTTTTTCCAATTTCTGGAACACTTAACTTTATTCCTTCTTGAAAATGGGCAGATACAGAATGATAAATAGTTATTAAATGAGAACGAAGATGTAGTTCTGCTGTCAAGATACTATTGAATGGTTAGTAACAAAAGGACCAGAACTGCCATGGATTTGAAATAAAAGGAGTAGCACAGATCAAACTACAGGTAAATTAAATAGAAAAGTGTACATCACAGTGAGCTGTTTTAAGTTATTTCTACATACGTCCCTGGTAACTTACTCTACCTAAGCTTCTAAATTATGCAAATCCATAATTTGTCCCTTTAATTTTTTTCACATATACATGTGATTTTTCCCACAGCTGTAAAGCAGAATCAAGCCACAGCTAAAAGGCATAAACAAGCAAAGTGAGTAAGGAAGTGGTGGTGGTGTTTTCCGGTGACCAATACCTAGTTATACTGCATTCCTTAACAATACCTGGATTTAAGGAGCCACAAGATTAGGTAAAAATAAACCCTTGGTTCTGTCTAGTGGCATCAATTCCTAAAGGGTACATTGGCATGTTGTGTCTCTTAAGCTATCACTTAAAAATTACTTCTGAAAAGTATCTATCAAAAAGCATATTTATTAATTTTAAATCATATCATCCATTGAAGAAATGTCTGCAGATGAAGCAGAAGTAGTCATTTGCTGTGTTAATAAAATCATTGTACCTTTAGTAGTTTGTCAGCACTGAGTGATGTTTGAAAACCTGTTTTTCACATTCATTTTTTAAGCTTTTAGGTATTGACTAAGACAGTGAGTCCTCCTGGAATATTACAGCAGCAGTTTATGGGTCGATGCTAAACACTTCAATGCAAGAATGACACACAAATCTTTCAAATTATAAGAAGCTGTGGAGTGAAAATAATAGAGTTTCCTGTATAATTTTTTTCATTAAGTAGTGCAAGTACTACTACCCAAACCTAAGAAATGGTGGTATCATCTTCACAAATCCTCAGTCCTGTGCTGCCGAACAGGCTCACTTCAAGTGCAGGGATACAAACTGTCCAGCACTATTAAGGAGTGCACCAATGTAACTGCACAACATTCATATTCGAATGTCATCGCTCAGGATTAGATGAAATTATTTCCCCCTGGAAAAAGAGTGTGGCTTTTGATTTTAAAATGCAACACAGTTTGGCATGATGTGGCTTATTTTTCACAGGAGAGGTCTAGCTGCTGCCTCAAAAACTCTTGCCTTGTCCCCAGATTTTTTACACATGCACACACACTCTCAAGGTACCCCCTGTCCTTTCTCCCTTTGAGAGATGTTACTAACCTCTGCTAATGCTGTCTAAACACTCACTAGCTGGTAGCAATACTTGTGGGACAGATGATTTAGAAAGATACAAGAAAGAGTCAAATACAGAAGTCAAGGTGAAGTCTCTAAATGAGAGAGCCTCTAAAAACTCTTTAAGGTAATGGGTAGTTGTGATACAGATATATGAAGTAAGAAAAGGTATATAGGGAAAGGCACAGCTGGTTGATTTACTGACAAAAATGTTCTCTTGCAATACTTGTGGGACAGATGATTTAGAGCCACTTGATTCAAAACATTCTCAGCTAAAGCTAAGTAATCATTTCAAGTGATCAAATATCGTCTGCTGTGAGAAACAAATACACAGCACAATGATAGTTATTGAGCTTACTCTCAGCAAAGCATATTAATCTTTTCTTCAGATTTTACTTTTG